TTGGTTTTGTTACGCCACAAAATCAATTGGACTGAAATGTTATTGAGATCGTGTACTGCGTTCTATCGAGTGCACGTGGCATGTCGTCAAAATTAGAGCACACGAGATCTTGACTGAAAAGTTTATGCTATTATTTTTGTAAATAAGTTCTGTCAGGAAAGCGAATTCCATTGAACCACCAGTTGGACTTCAGAGATGCCAATATTGTATTGTGTTGCATTGTATTGTATTGACATAAATTGTGCAACCAACTTTGCGTACATTTTTGTTCAGTTCTCCGTCACTTTGAGGCGCAAAAACTGAAAAAATCACACTGTTAAATCACAATTAATATTTATACCCAACGCTAAGCAACGCAAATTGATTTGGGTTGTGTTGTAGGGCCGGCAAACAGATAGATGGAGATTTATTTCATGTGAGTAATGGAGGATTTGATTCAAATTCAAAGTGGAAATTCATCGTCAATATAACAAATGAAGCGTGTACTGAAAATCTAGGAAGAACCGATAGACAGCTGTTTTGGCCTGATTGGGTCTCATCCGCAGCGAGTGAATCCATCGACCCAACTGGGATTCTCGAACCCGGAACCTCATTGGCAGAACGCAAGCATGGTATCCGCTCGGTCACCCTGGGGCAGCTGATCAGACCGTTTTTCAGTCTCCATTTACACGATATAGCACAACCCATCTTTGTGAACTTGTTGCGGGCCACAGACCTCGCTCATCTCAGCACTAGCCTGCGGGATTATGACTCGGTTGGGAACATTCACAACCTGACTGCTTGTTTCATGTTAGTAATGGAGGATTTGTCTCCATGTCATTTCGTAACTGGATGGATAAGCGACACAGTCTATCAAAAAAAACTTGCAAATGGTAGGACTGTCCTATGGTGCCCCATGGGTGTTCGGGGGTGTTTGTTCTGACAAGGGATACAGATTTGAGAACTGAGGGATCCACGAGATACGCAGGCCGGGAAAGACTGAATTCTTGTCCCGTGCAGTCTTCGCCTCATAATAATTTTTAGTTTCAGTTTTTCCAACCATTAACCATGCACGTTTGTGCGCCAGTTTTTTTTTGGTCGCCCATGTGGATAAAAGAGCAGAATAAAGATTAGAATGGTGACAGCGGAGTCAAAGAAAAGATAGAAATTACATAAAGACTTGGGTTACAGAAATAATGAGTAGATGCACGAGCGCCGCTGTTGGTGACACTGAACCGTATCACAATTTCTCTAACCACTGGTTACCATGATCTCGGCGTCCTCATACAGAGAGCCTAAAGGAACCAATTGTTCCAGTGGGCAGCTGAGATTACCTCAAGTATTTGCGGCTACCCACAGCGTTGCTTGTCCCATTTCCCAACAGAATCGTCCAATGCGACGTACATAGCGGTGTTCGAACACCGAAAATCGGTGTTTATCCGGTTCCCTTAACGACCAAGTCTCTGCACCGTAGAGCAGGACTGGCCTAACTGCTACAGCAGACAGCTGGATGTCGCGGTGGCACCACAGATGTCTCAGGTTGCCAAATGCCAATCGAGCCGTCTCTGTTTGCGTGCCGATACTTTATCTGTGACGTGTCCGCCAGGTGAGATATAGCTTCCCAGATAGCAAAACGTCTCCACTTCCTTTAGTACTTCCCTACTGAGATAGAAGTTGGGGGCTGGACTAACCCAATCTTGTAGCAATACTTCACACTCTGAAGTTCCAAAAGACATAACAAACATAGTACTAAAAATATCCATAAATCATTGCACCTTACCTGGATCTTCACTTAGGAGCAAAATTTCATCTGTGTATTCCATATCAGACAGTTTAACATCTCGGAGCAAATCTATGCCGTTCCTCGCGCAGGAGGATAAAGTTATTTCAATAAATAAATCTCTGGTAAAGTTATATAGAAACGGAGAGAGAAGGCAATCCTGAGGAACACATTTCCGTGGTGAACTCGCGTGAAAAAGTGCCGTTAGCTCGGAAGGCTTCGGCTATTATTATAAGGGGATTGCAATGTCGAAAAGACTTCTCGGTACACCGGTCGGTCTTCCTGGATTATAAGAGTTTAGTACCAGGATGCCCAGATGCCTACTTGGAGCTTTTAAATAAAAAACGTTCCTTTTAAGAATCTGTGAATAGTAAACAAGTTCATCCCGAGGTTCATTTCGAATGCAGCAAGTTAATTTAAGTGGTAGAGCGCTCGATTGGCTTCACAAACGGGACACAGCTCTTGTCCATAAGAGAGTCCTCGTCAAGTTCTTGAAAAAAAGAACGATTCACGTTTCCGGAAATGGCAGTCAGATTCCACCGACCGATTTCATTAATAACCAAACCGAGAACCTTACAGGTGCAACGCAAATATTCTACCTGTGACGCCCCGGGTTCGATGGATTCGCACAATGCTGATGAGAACCATCCAGGTCGTAATAACTGTCCAACGGTGCTTCCCAGTTTGTCAGATCACACCTCGCTTACACGGAGATTTCATCATTTAAAAGCCTACGTACTACTTACTGTGTAATATGTCACCGTCCACACGCGTTTTCACTCAAAAAAATATGTTCAGTCACCCCTCATTTATCATTGTCTTGACCCAGACCTATGATCGATCGTCCGACATTCATTCGTCTCTCGTTCCCCTCGAAGGATTTCATTTCTTTGCTCGTCCACCAAACTCTTTTGTCTTCTTCATCCCTCCGTCTCGTGACCGCTGTCCCTGACCCTAATAAGGTCTAACCTGTCTGCATCTGATTATCGTGTCGGGTTGCTTAATCATGTTC